TTCCTTCCACTTTTATGTAAATTCTGAGAATCAAATTCTGGTCTCCAGACTTGCAAAACAAGAAGCACCTTTATCCACTGATTGAACCAGGTCCTCTTTAATTTTGAGACAGGGTGTTATGTATCCCAGACTGACTTTGAACTCAATATGTATCAGAGAAAAATCTAGTGCTAATATTATAGGTGTGCACATTTACGGAGTGGGAGGTGGGGAAATCCAAACCCTATATGTTAGGCAAGTACAACTAAATTACATCCCGGCCCCCATTTGCCTTTTAGTGTTGCGGGGGGATGAGCACAGGAGTGCTTATGTGGCGGCGGGGGGGGGGGGGGGGGGGGGGGGGGGGGGGGGGGGGGAGGGGGGTGCAGACACACAAGTCACGGCATGTGTGCCTTTCCACCTTGTTTAAGACAAAGTCTTTTCACCATCGAATATGCCAGGCTAGCTGGCCTGGGAATCTGGGGATTCTCCTGCCTCCCATCTCTCCACAGGGGTGGGCTAGGATTACAGATGCCTATGTTTCTGTGTCTCACTTTCACACGGGCTCTGGAGATCCAGACTCAGTTTGTCAGGCTTTCATGGCAAGTGTTTTTATCCCCTGAGCCACATCCCCAGCACCATATCTGCTTTTTGTTTTTTTGAGGCAGGGTTTCTCTTCGTAACAGCCCTGGCTGTCCTAAAACTCCCTTTGTAGACCAGGCTGGACCAGGCTGGCCTTGAACTCACAGAGACCTGCCTGCCTCTGCCTCCCGAGTGCCGGGATTAAAGGCGTGTGCCACTGCTGTCCGGCTGGCACATCTGCTTTTTAATAAGTAAGGATCATCAATATCTTTACCCAAAGCAGCAATGAATTATGCCACAATTTAATAGACACCCACAGAACAAATATGATGTTCTTAACTAAGTATGAGACCCTGTCTCAAAAAAGGAAAAAAATAATTAAAAGAAAAAGTGGGAAGAATGGGCTTCATACAGGAGCCAAGAAGCAGCTAAGTTTGGCTGGAATTTATACTTCTGCACACTCAATCACTCAGTTCCAGTGATTGTATGGGTGTGTGTAAAAAATGAACACAAGAAAAATAAGGCTGGAAAGATGGCGGGAAGCAGGGTGTTGCTAGCCCTGAGCCCAGCATCCATCTCCTCATTGTCTTCCTTCCTCCCGTTCCCACACAGCAGCCACAGTGATTTTTCTACGTTGCAAATCTGATTAAGTCCTTTTTCTCATCCACAATTCTTCGGTCATTTTCAGTTGAAGACAATATTCAAACTGCTTAGCATCATTTACAAGTCTCATCCCCTTGTGTCTACCTGCCATCTCAACGAACCTTTTGTAGCTTCTTAAATGCAGCATCCCCTCTGCCTTAGATTTCTCTCACCCCATATATCTCTTAGCAACAATTCCATAATTTACTCCCCTCATCCAGATAGCCAATTGTCTTGTCATTACAAATTTATTATTCTTTGTCTAAAGAACATAAAAGCATCGTGCTTTGGGCATTTCTTCAGACTTCATTCTCTTGTGAAGATCCCCATATACATGTAAATTTAATAAAACTTTATGCTTTTTCTCTTATTAATCAGTGCTTATACTAATTGGGTTCCTAGATCCAACCAAAGAGCCCACATAAGAACGTAGAGGGGGTCAGAGGACCTCTTTCCCCTCTACGCTCATATAACTGGTAAGGGATGGAGTCACGTCTGTCTAACCACAGATCCGACCTCTCTCAGCTTCACTGTTACCTACTTTACACAAAGCATTGTGTCTAACTGATGAGAACAGCCCCTGTGAACAATTAAAGAACAATGAAGCTCTGAACAATGTCCATGGTATTGAATTGAAGAGAAAGGGGGTTCAATAAGGGAGAGCGTACCATTTGGGCCTGCCTGGCTGAAAGAAGAGAAGTGCTTAGAACCAGCCCTTTGAACAGGGCCCTGGGGGAGGGGGAGGCAGAACCAGGAGTAGTTGAGAGGATGAGCTGATAGAAGAGCAAGGTGATACATAAGCAAGAGAAAAGCAGGGGGATGGAGTCAGTATGAAGTTTTCCCATTGAGAGTGAGGCTGGGGAGCCTTTAATCCCAGCACTCAGGAGGTAAGGGCAGGCGGATCTCTGAGTTCAAGGCCAGCCTGGGCTACAGAGTGAGTTCCAGGACAGCCAGGGCTACGCAGAGAAACCCTGTCGAGAGAGACGGGTGGGGTGGGATGAAAGTAAGGCTGGAGTAAAACACAAGGGGACTGTTTGAAGGGGACATAAAGTGAAACTTGGTGAGAAAACAGAAAGGTCAGGAAGAGGAAGAGACAGACAAAGGTGGCGACTGAGATTCTTTTCTGGGGAAGGCCGTCGGGTCCCTGGAGGAAGGCCTCCAGTAGAGTCAAGTTCTGCACTTACTCCCCATATTCCAGGCCACCTCTGCACTGTGAGTGAGGGAAGCCGGGAGAGGGGTTTTATGCTAGTGTAGACGATTCTGCCCAATGTCCTATTCAGAGAGGGTCTTTGAGGATGGAAAGAAACAGTCATGTGTCTTCGCAGCCAGTCTGCTGCTGTACGTGTCTGTCTCACGATGTAGGCAGTGATCGTGGTGTTCAAAGAGAGGAGATTTTTTTTTTTAATATGAGCCCCAAAGGCAGCCTAATATATACTAGCTTATTCTGCTGCACATTGGAAGGGGGTATCAGAGGAAAGAGAGGGCAAGACAGAGGAGAAGGGGGAAGAAAACTATCAGCCACTATTTGCCATGTTGGAGAAAATTGGAACTTTGATTTTGTTTGATTTTTGCTTGAAGTCTGGTGTTAGATCTAAGGCACTTTTAAGATAAACCCCTATTGCAGATGTCAGGAGAGGACCTCTGAGGATGCCTTGGGTTAAAAGCTGGGTATGGTGGCTTATACTTGTAATCCCAGCACTCGGCGTCCGGAGGCAAGCTCAAGGTCAGCCTGGGCAACATTGTGAGTTCCAGGTCAGCATGGGCTACACAGTGAGAGCTTGTTTGAAAAGAAGAAAATCTGAAACCAAAACAAATAACAACCCCCTTTCCCCTCAAAAAAAAGTCTTGGGTTGAGAAGAAAACTCGCAACTCATACTAGCTTAAAACAAGGGAAGCGTTGGTTTACATCAAAGCCCAGGTGTAAGACGGTCTTCAGGTGAGACCTGATCTAGTGGCTTCTGTGTTACCTATTTACTTATTTATTCATATTTTTGGCCAGGGAAGGGGTCTTAGTTACATCCTAGACTGACCTTGAACTCACTATGTAGCCAAGGATGCCCTGGACTTCTCATTCTCCTGAGTGCTAAGAGTAAGATCATCGGTATATACTACCACCACCAGTTTATGTAGTACTGGGAATTAAACCCAGGGCTTTGTGTATGCTAGACAAGTACCCTGCCAACTGAGCTACCTAGCCCCATTTTATATATTTGTCACCTTTGTTTGGAAGAGTCAGCCTTATATGAGTGCAAACCACTGATGTAGTCCATTCCTCTCACCTTACCAGGAAAGAAACTGGAGCCTGCCAAAAAGGGCACTTTTGCCCAGAGTTGAGCAAAACTGAGCCAAGACTAAAGACTAAAAACGAGACTGAAAACACAGTGGTCGGGCCAGTGCCCACTCTCAACTAACTAGGCTTTGTGAAAGCAATATGGTGGTGAGTTTATGCCAGGCAGTGCCCAGTGATGAAAAAGATCCGAGGCGACCAGAAATGGTGTCAGGGCCATATGGGTGGGTGGACTTCTAAAGGTCAGGACCATCCGCTACAACTTCAAGAAGACTGGAAGGGGTGGAGGCCAACTGCTTGGGTCTTCTCCTACAGTGTAACAGACACGCAGAACGCCTGATGCCAACCATCTGAGTGTCTCCATTGCTGCATTAGAACACCATGACCAAAAGCAACTTGGTGGGGAAAGGGTTTATTTCAGGTTACAACTCTCAGGTCACAGCCCATTACCAGAGGAAGTCGGAACTGAGTTAGACACCATGGAGGAATACTGCTTATTGTCTCACTCTTCATGGCTTATTCAGCCTGCCTTCCGATAGCACCCAAGACGACCAGCCCAGGGGTGGTACTGCCCACAGTGATCTGGGCTCTCCCACATCAGTCATCAATCAAGAAAATGCACCCCAGGCTTTTCCACAGGCCAGTCCGGTGGGGGCAGTTTCTCAATCGAAGTTCCCTCTTCCCAAATGACTCTGACTTGTGTCACACTGACATAAAACTAGCCAGCACACCCACCAAGTGGGGAGTGGAGAGGAGGAGGCTGGAACTGGCCAGACAGCGGCACAAGGAGCCCAGGAGTAGGTAGGATCGGGATGAGCAAACTATGTTATTCTCTTCTCTCTCACAGTACTTGTGTCTCGGGTGGAGGGAACATTGGAAATGCAGACCCTAGGCTTTTCCAAAACCAGAGGGGGAAAATGGGGCAGTTGGGTGGGGAGGGATGGGAATCCCATAGCGACAAAAGGCATTTGAGGAAAGAAACCTGCTAAAATCCATCTGCCCCTTCAAACTCCAACTAGTAAATAAAGAAATCCATTTATCTTATGTTGACAAGCCCTAGCACATCCCTACCTGCATCTGTTCCCTCTGGGCCAGCAGGGAATCTGGTGTATGAGATGGCATCCACTTGTCTTCAGGGACCTTCATCCCTCATCCCTCTCACTGACCTTTAACTTGTACTTTCTCCACCTTGGTAAGACCTCTGCCACTGTGAGGCACTCCTAGGGGGCGGGGGGCACTTTCAACAGCTCTGCCTAGGCCTAAGGTCCCCTGGGACCGCTGCTTATACAGAAAAAAAAGAAAAGAAACAGAAAGAGTCAGTACCCCGCCCTCTGGACAGCACAGACCAACACAATGCATTCTTGTGCTCCTTCAATCTCCCTCCCTTCCTCCTCTTTCTCTCTTCTCCCCATCTCTCCTTTTCTGTCATCTCCCTATATCAACATCCCTGCCCTCAGCCTTGCCAGACTTCCTGCCCTGCTGAGATACTTTTATAGCAGAGTCAGACGGCCAGCCCAAAGGCACATCCTCCTACCGCCATCTTCTCTCCGAACCCACCACCAACCAGCTTCTCTGTCCAATTTAGGCTTCTCAGGATGGATGTCACTCGCCTACTCCTGACCACTCTAGTGGGCTTCCTATGCTTCCTTGCTGTCTACAGCCACCTGGTACCCAAGGAGACGCTCAGAGATGACAGGAGTCTGAGCAGCAACTCCTCCATGAATTGCAAAGATTTCTCTTCTGTTTCTATTGTGGGTAAGTAGCCTGGCCTGGGACCCAGCCCCTAGGCTCTGATCCATGAGAGCGGGTACAGTATGTCAAGCCTGTTGCCCAGGCTGCCAGCAGCTTAACTATGGTTCTTTCTTGCTCATTCCTAGGGAAATACAGTGTCCTGAGTTTGGGAGAGCTCTGCATGCCACCAAGTTGAGTGTGTCAGAGATCTGAAGAGGTCCCAAGTCAAGATGCTGCTGGACTTAGTTTAACTTAGCATCTGTAAAACTTAATGAATCCCAAAACTCCCCAACAAAACAAACTTTAGGAAAACCATGGACTAGAACTAAGTCTGCAATAGACCAGTCTTGCCATAGGATGGGAAGTAACATGGAACATCGAAGTCTGGCATTAGCTAGCCATCTCCTGGTTTGATCTCACCTGATCGTAAAGGGCATAGGCTCAGGATGAGCACAAGGGCAGAGCACATGCTTAGCATGCAAGATATCGAGATTCAGTTCCTGTAACCAAAATAAAAGGAGACACGCATAGGTTCCGTGAGGTAGCTCTTGGTTTTACTTATATTTCTTTTTTTTGTTTGTTTGGTTTTTCGAGACAGGGTTTCTCTGTGTAGTTTTGTGCCTTTCCTGGAACTCGCTTTGTAGCCCAGGCTGGCCTTGAACTCACAGAGATCCGCCTGGCTCTGCCTCCCGAGTGCTGGGATTAAAGGCGTGCGCCACCACCGCCCAGCGGTTTTACTTATATTTCACCGCTGATGAAACTGGAGCTAACTGACATCAGTTCCTAATGGCCAGAGCCAGAATTCAAACAGAGGCAAATTATACATGTGAGCTCACAACTCTTTGTTGAGTTGCATTTCACTGAGCACAGAAAGGTGGTATAGAGCAGTGGTTCTCAACCTTCCTAATGCTGCGGTTCTTCATGATGTGCTGACCCCTAACCATAAAATTACCTTTGTTGCTACTTCATGACTGTAATTTTGCTACTGTTATGAATCTTAATGCAAATATTCTTGGGGATGGAGGTTTGTCAAAGTGGTCGCAACCCACAGGTTGAGAACTGCTGGTCTAGACATATCAGAGAAGTCAAAAGAGGGAAGAAGGGAAATACTAATATTCCTTAATCACCATTGCTATGTCAGACTTTTAAAAATATCTTACTTTTATGTAGATGGGCACTCTGCCTTCATGTATGTCTAGGCACTATGTACAGTCCTGGTACCCTCAGAGACCAGAAGAATCTAGAAGAGCCCCTGAAATTGGAGTTATAGACAGTTGTGAGTCACCTTGTGGGTGCTGGGAAACAAATCTGGGTCCTCTGAAAGTGCACCAAGTGCTCTTAACAGCTGAGTCATCTCTGCAGCCCCATGTCAGACTGTTTGTTAACATACTTTACTTACAATAGAGATCACACAGCTGTTACATGGATTCAAGTCAGGCAGACCTGGCTCTGAGCTCTGAGAATTTAAAATAAATAAATAAATAAACAAAACCATAGATAACACAGATGTGTCCAGTAACAGAAGACTGAGTCCATTTCCAGAGACTCACAATGCACTTGCACCTGCAAGGTTAAAGGTACCTGTGGTGATCAAGGGCTAGCAAGGTCAAAAGGCCAAGTCCAGGTCTCTAACAGATGTCACAGACAGGTCCCAGGTCCCTTTTGGACTTCCTTTTTGCCCCCTCAGAGCACACTGCTCTTTAGGTCTGAAGCCAGGCTAATAAGAACCTGTTGGCTTGATTCCCATAATGTGATCCATCCCGAAGTCCTCTTTCTCTCTTCCACTCCGAGACTTCCCAGAGCCCCCTCTACCCCTCCCACTTCACAACCTGGACCCCAGAAACATCTGGCTTTGCTCTTTCTGCCCTTCTTTGAAGCACTGAACAAGAAATCCAAGAAGATCAGCATACAGGAAGCCGAGAAGCAGAAAAGAGCCGAAGCGGAGAAGCGGAAGAGATCATCTAAGGTAGGCCTGGGAGTTCTCACAGTGGGGGTGGGAGACCTGCAAGCCTTGGTCTGAGAACTAAATGTAAGATATCTCCAGGCCTACACGAAACAAAAGAAATGAAAACGACCTAAAGGTTTCCTGGCCTAGAGCCTTGAGGCGGACCTCCATAGAAGCCAGAGAGCCTGAGTTCACTGGGCAAAACAGCCACCTGCTAGAAAAGTTGTCACTTCTAGTTAAGAACCCCCAGCCCCTTCCTGAAAGCTGCCACCCATTCTTTTGGATATTTACCTAAACCCCAACCGCTGCAGACCCACTCTTGCTGGACCTGAGTTTCTTTTTTGAACTCCTCCTTTACAGGGCCTTGTGCAAGCTAGGCAGGCATTCCATCACCGAGTCATACTTTCAGCCTTAGAGTATTCTCAACAAGCTTTTGCTATGTAGTGCAGGCTGCCTGTAAACTAGCGATCCTCCTTGTCCTGAGCGCCCCAAGTGCTGAGGTTACAGATCCAGGCTACCCTGCCCAGCTGTCTCACCTGTTTACAAATCAGAAAACGTCAAGAATAGAAAACAGAAGTTGGGTGTGGTGGCACACAGCTGTACTCCCAGTATTTGAGAGGTGAACGCAGAAGATCAGGAGTTCACAGTCATCCCAAACTACATGCCAAGTTCTGAATGAGCCTGGGCTGCACAACCACTGAAAAATAGAAGTATGATAGAAGACTAATATCACTTGCTGTAGCTAGAGTTAAAGACTCAATGAAAATAAGACACTGTTAGTTGAGCCTAGCAGTACAGGCTTGTACCCCCAGCTGCTTAGGAGGCTGAGACAGGGGGACCCCTACCTAGTTCAAGGGTTGCTGGAGCCATGAAGCAAATTCAAGGCCCACATGGGCAAACTGAGATGTTGTCACAGAATAAACATTTTAAAAGTGTGGGGATATGAAGTAGTAAAGCTTGCCTATAACATGCAAAGCCATGAGTTCAATTCCCACTATGAAAAAAAAAAAAAAAAAATATATATATATATATATATATATATATATATATATATATATATATGCACTGTTAGTGTTGAAGTCAGCTGGATGTTATTAGCTGCTAAAAGCTCTAAAGCCTGCTTTGTTAAAAGGCAGTAAGAATGTGTTCAAAAGCAATAAAGGACATGTTAGCACCAAACAGCCTTTCAAGTTGAAAGACAGAAAAAAGAGCATCTTTTCACTAAGTGATTAAGGACCATTTAATGTTTTTGTACCCACCACCTAAAACCATACCGCTATGATACAGGTTCCCACACTTTGATAAATACCAGATGAGGCATTGTTGAATTCACACACTATTCCCGTTTTAGTGTGCCTCGGCTAATTGGATCAGCTGTAACCAGCAGGGAGGAGAGAACAAAGTATATGTGCCTGCTAGGTGCTGGGAATTCAGCCATGAACAAGAGATACTGCTGTGTGGAGCGTACATCTGTGTGGGGACACCAGGCCGCAAGTAAAACACTAAACAAGTTTACATTTTTACATGATACAGTCTGTGAAGAAACTGAAGCAACGGTGAAGGCCTACACGCATTTAAATGAAAAATTTAGTAATCTAGATTAGCGGTTCTCAACACGGGGGTCACGACTCTGAAGGGGTCACATATAAGGTATTTACAATATGATTCATAACAGTAGCAAAATTACAGTTATGAAGCAGTAATGAAATAATTTTAAGGTTGCGGGTCACCACAACATGAGGAACTGTATTAAAGGATCACAACATTAGTAAGGTTGAGAACCACTGCTCTAGAGCAATGTCTAATAGAAACACAGTATAAGCCATCTATATATATTTTCTATTTTCTAATAGCACATTAAAAAACGTTAGACTTGGCATATTTAAAGTATTAATATTTAAACATATAAACTTTTTTTTTTTTTTTTTTTTTTTGAGACAGGGTTTCTTTGTGTATGTAGCCTTGGCTGTCCTGGAACTCACACTGTAGACTAGGCTGGTCTCCAACTCAAGATCCGCCTGCCTCTGCCTCCCAAGTGCTGGGATTAAAGGTGTATGCCACCACCGCCCCCCTATATAAACAACTTTTAAAATTATTTTTATGCAGTCTTTGAAATCTGGTGTATAGCTCACACAGCAAACCTCCATTTCAATGCTAAATGTGGTCCGAGTAAATTTATGTTTAACGGGCAAGTACTTTATATGCTTGCTTTAAACTTAGAAAACTCAGTTCCTCTGTTACACTGTATGCATTTTAGTAGGCTTTGACTACTAGTACTAGCATGCACCTAGGCTATGGGGTAGCCTACAACAGGAGAGGAGGGCAGAGGCCAAACACAGAGGAAGGTCCTCCAGGGCCAAAAGAAAATTTGTTTCTCCCCAGAGAAATCACTGGAGAGCCTTAACGCTGGTGATGCGATCATAGGAAGGGCCTTCTTTGGTGCACTGGAGGATGGTAACTCTAGAAGACAGACAGGGCCACTAGGGGACGAAGGTAATGAGGCCTAAAACAGTGGCAGCGGATGACAGGGATGGTGGATGAGACTTGAAGTGAAGCCGGAAGGTGTTTAAAACTGGGGCTGAGTGGGATCTCCTAAGAAAAGGGCCAGGTCGGAGCTAGGTAAGCTTGAAGACGAAGGCGGTGTGCAGGTTGGGGGGCGGAGGGCAAGACCCCCTAGGATGGCCTGTGCGTATGAGTAGAGGTGGGCAGCAGGGCCGAGGTCTCTGGTCCCAGACCTCCACTGCAGATGAGGACGCGTGGGACCAGGGTGGCCCGCTCAGCAGCCTCCCACGTCTCTCCTACAGAAAAAGGCTTCGATGAAGAAGGTGGCACGGCCCCCGCCACCCACGCCCTGCGTGGCCACCCGAGACAGCTGCAAGCCGCCTGCGCCCGCCTGCTGCGACCCGTGCGCCTCCTGCCAGTGCCGCTTCTTCCGCAGCGTCTGCTCCTGCCGCGTACTCAACCCCAACTGCTGAATCCGCTTACTCGCTGCGCGCGCAGCTTCCGGGATGGGTGCCTGGGCGGGGCTTCAGGGGCGGGGCGCTTCTAGGCTGGGGGAGGGGTCTCTGGTGGGTGGGACTTCGCGAGTGGGCGTGGCCCATGGTTGTGGGTAGTGGGTGCTTTCCGAAGACAGGTGTTCAGGGAAACCTAATGGAGGCTAAAATCAGAATACAGTATCTTTAGGCTGCTGGGAAAGTGTGGCTGTTTCTTTAAAAGAGCCTAAAGCTTCCGGCTCCTTTACCGAGCTCTGGTCCTGCGCCGCTCTCCAGCGCGAAGGGAAGCTCGCGCGTGGCTGGTACTTGTTCGTTCTGCAGCCGGGCACGATGCTACCCGGTTACTTCCAGCCTTCCACTACCGGCTGCCTCCAGACCAGGGGAAAGGGACCATTAGGGAACGGACTTCCAGTCTTTTCACCCATTCTCCTCCTGGGGAAGACCACAAAAATCCAAGACGTGCTAGAACTCCACAAGCAGTCTCAGCCGGGTGGGGTCGGGGTCGTGGGTTTCTAAAGCCAGCAGGATCTGGGTTGAGGATCCCAGAACTTTTAAGAGGCTCCCAAACAAAGGCACTAACGAAACCCACTCTTCCCTTGCTCCCAAGGGCACACAGATGTTTTCTTACGCCAGGCATTAGTCCCAGGCATTTTTTTTATTATTATTCTAATAGCCTAGAATTTGGGCTCCCAAAGACGCAAAAATCTACACAACCTTCCTTGATCTTCACCCTAATTTCGTTGGCCGGTAAGAAAGCAGTGTGGGGAGTTGGGGCGGGGGGACTGAAAAGCAGCAGCAATCGCACTAAATTATCAAGAACCTATTGCCAAAAATGTTTCAGACTGTTTCTGAAATCCCCCAGATTCTCGGTCTGTGAAAAGCTGAGGTGCAGCGTTGTAACTTTGGAAGAACCGTGGGAGGGAGAGCACCTGGAGAAAGGAGTTAGGGTTTGGGGAGCAGGTACCTTAAGGAAGGAGGGGGGTGTAAATAGAGGAAGGGCTCTAGATAATGTCATCTATTTGTCCTTGGCTGGCCCTTAGTGCTAGGGAGAAAGGCTGAGAGCTTGCCTAGCCTGAGCTGCCGCCATCCCCAAATCACTACAATGCAAGTACCAAAAGAAAACAAAAAGGGGCCTTGCGGGGGGAAAAAGATTCTATGGGGAGACTTTAAGACAGAAATGTATGAAGCCCTTCTCTCAGCCCTGGTAACCACCATGTAGCTCTCTATTGTGGGACTAGTGGGGTGAAGACAGGCGGAAGGTCTGATACAGGTGTGACCAGCTTTTCAGGCCTTTGTGTTCGTTTGCTATCATTCTCTTTCAAATGCCTTAAACAGGCTGGCAAGATGGCTCACAAGCCTGCTAGTCTGAGTTCCATCCCCAGGACCCATGTAAGGGTAAGAGAAAACAGACTCTTCAGTACACATGCATCTTCAAACACACATCACACACACACACACAGTAAGCATGATAAAGATACATCTCACTCCCTCAAACCACCCTCCTTGCCACAGACCTTTTCCCAATAGAGACCCAGGTTGTGCCTTTGGTGACATACTTACTTACATAGTTTGGAAACAATGAGACAAACACCTCTACCCAGCCACCACCTGGACAGGGCACAAGAAAAGATGGGTGTTCCGGGCAAAGCTGTCCACACAGTGCTGACACTGGGCAAATCCTAATGTCTGTCTCCCTGGCTGCCATTTACGTATCTTTAAAATGAGAAATAATAATTCCAGCTGTTGGTAAAAAAAAAAAAATCCAGGAAGTTATTATTTCTCAATGCCTTAACACAGCACCACCACACACCCACATCCATGCTCACCCACGTCCATGCTCACAGAAAAGCTGCCTGTTGTTTGCTTTGTTTTCTGTCATTTGGGCTGCAAGCCCACAAGGCAAGAACGTTTTGTTCCTTGTACCACAGCGGCTGCTGAGTAAATGTCATCAGTAATGAGACTATTGGGAACACATTGCAGCCACTGCTCCTGTGTTTTCCAGACACTGTTCACTCACCAAGTACTATTTGGCTCCTCACAGCGAAGCTGGGATGAAAAGCTAAAACACTCAGCCCATTTATTTGTTCTTGTTGTGTGCGGGTTTGTTTTTGATGTTGGTTTTGTTTTGAGACATCACTATGTGTCACTCTGGCTAGCCTCGAACTCAGAGATCTGCCTGCCTCTGCCTCCCACTGCTGGGACCAAAGCCAAGTGCCACCACCCCTGTAGGCCACTAGTTACAAAGCCATTGAGTTACTGGATTTAGACAACATGGAAGACCAGTCCAATGGTTCACTCATTCAGCATGTGTATTGGCCACCTACTGTATGCCGGTACTGTAACTACTCTAATGAAAAACTCCAATGCGGGTATTGTCCCTACAGAGCTTAGGTCTGACCACTGGTCCTGAGAAGAGGCAAGAACAATTGTTAGCCTACAGAGTCTCTTCCCTCACACTTAGCTCTTGCTGCCGTTGACTCAGACCTAGTTAGGTAGTTCCCTGCCCAAGTTTTCCTTCAGCTTTGAAATCCTGAGTTCTACTGTTTCAGAATTCCTCTGTAAACTTTAGAGTTCTAAGATCATGGCGTACTTTGGTGACCAGAACTGAAACTCACATTTATGTCAAAAAGTTATGGTTGTATATTATGAGGCTATGAGTACCCTAGTCCATCTCCAACACAATCATATTTTCTACACACACACACACACACACACACACACTGAGCAAACTGTCCTGGAAAGATTTGTTGCACTATTCATTTCTTCCCACACCCTTAAACTCGTGCGCCTGAAGTTCTCATAATGTAACCTTGAACAAGTCACTTAAGTTTTTTTCTGACATGCGGGAGGGGTGTCTCATGTAACCCAGGCTGGCCCAATCTAGGCTAGCTTCAAATTTCTGATCCTCCTGCCTCTGTCTCCTAAGTACTAGATGACATGCATGCAGAACCATGTGTGGTTTACAGTGTATGCACTGCTAGGATCCACCCCAAGGCTTGATATTTGCTAAATGAGCTCTCTACCAACCTACCTACGTCCTCAGCCCCGGAAGTTGAAGTCTTAAGTGAGAATCTCATCATATAGTACAATATAAGTTATAATAATGCACACACAAAAACATGAAATTAGTGACTATATACTAACAATTGCCCTCCTATACCAGCCTCATCAACCAGTGTGTCTCTTAGTTTGGTTTCTGAAGAAAGTTTCAATCACCAGGAGATATAAAGTTTTAACAGCTCACCTTTTACCTCATACAGCCTCCTATGAAATGGGAACAGCAGGGTTTATGTCAGAATTTGGTCCAGGTGGTTTTTCAGCATGTTAAACTTTAATGCATAGAAGATTTAAACATGCATGTTTTTATTACATTTTTAAAGGCTTTGATATTTTTAAAAGAAATTGAAGTTTATGATTTCACAGAAGCAGTATACTTCAAAAAATCAGTAGTCTAAGAGGCAGAAGCCCCCAAGGCCCCAGGTGCCTTGGACTGTGGATATTAGGGCAATCTAACTGGCAATCACTAGGTCCTGATTCTAAATCTTTCCATCTGTTTCCAGGAGCACAGATGTGGACCACTAACCACTGACAGGAAATTACCCTTCTCCAAGAGGAACTTTATAAAGAAACCTAGCTCCCGGGGCCAATTCCCATGTGTGGAGGGAAGGGGATAAGTGAAGATAAGAAAGTGATTTGAGCCGGGCGGTGGTGGCGCACGCCTTTAATCCCAGCACTCGGGAGGCAGAGCCAGGCGGATCTCTGTGAGTTCGAGGCCAGCCTGGGCTACCAAGTGAGTTCCAGGAAAGGCGCAAAGCTACACAGAGAAACCCTGTCTCGAAAAAACCAAAAAAAAAAAAAAAAAAAGAAAGTGATTTGAACCAAATTAGCCAGGCCATCTGTAGTAACTTTCAGATTCATCTAGAGTAGACGTTTTACTCTTTCTTCTTCCATGGACTAAGAGGATAGACATGTGCTGAAAGAGAAGGCAGTTGAAAAGATTTTTTTATTTATTTTTTATTTTTTAGGTTTTTTCAAGACAGGGTTTCTCTGTGTTGTTTTGGTGGCTGTCCTGGATCTCGCTCTGTAGACCAGGCTGTCCTCGAACTCAGAGATCCGCCTGGCTCTGCCTCTCCAGTACTGGGATTAAAGGCGTGCACTACCACCACCTGGCAGGAATGGATTTTTTGTTTGTTTGTTTGTTTTATCAAGTAAAATATTTCAAAGTTGTAAAATGCTGTATTTTGGGGGACTTTTCTCCTGATAGCTTGCAGAAAAATAGTAACTGCTTGCCAACTTCCCCAGCCAGATGTGGGAGTTGAATGTGGGAGGTGGCTCCAGTGGTGGTTATGATGATGATGATGGTGGTGGTGGTGGTTATGATGGTGATGATGATGATGGTGGTGGTTATGATGGTGATGATGATGATGGTGGTGGTTATGATGGTGATGATGATGATGATGGTGGTGGTTATGATGGTGATGATGATGGTGGTGGTGGTGGTTATGATGGTGATGATGATGGTGGTGGTGGTGGTTATGATGGTGATGATGATGGTGGTGGTGGTGGTTATGATGGTGGTGGTGGTTATGATGGTGATGATGATGGTGGTGGTGGTGGTTATGATGGTGATGATGATGGTGGTGGTGGTGGTTATGATGGTGATGATGATGGTGGTGGTGGTGGTTATGATGGTGATGATGATGGTGGTGGTGGTGGTTATGATGGTGATGATGATGGTGGTGGTGGTGGTTATGATGGTGATGATGATGATGGTAGACTACTAGAGCAACTAGTAAACTACTAGAGTAAATTACAGCTGCTTGAGTTCACTCTCAGCTTCCAGAGCAAGCTCCTGGCTCACTGTTCACTACACCAGATTTCTAGCAAAATCCCTAAAGCCCTGTGTTTGAGTCTGGGCCAACTTGAAACACATGCTTATTCTTTTTTTTTTTTTTTAATTTTTTTTAAGGTTTATTTATTTATTATGTATACAGAAGAGGGTTCCAGATCTCATTGCAGATGGTTGTGAGCCA